CCTCCATTGCAGAGCTTCTCTCAGCAGCAGCAACTTCTTGGGAGATGTTCATCTTTAAAGGACCATGTTGACTTGCCTCCTCTGGCTGGGGAAATAGGAAAAGCCACAATGCCTGTGTAGGAATCTGTAGCGGTTGGTATCTAAGATAGGAGAAGAGAGGGGCTGAATAGTAGACAGGCTGCCTGAGAAACACACACTACTGGCGGGGACAACAAGAGTTACCTCGCTGCAAAATAGGCAAAATATGGGAAACTGCTCTGCTTTTCTTAAAGGTGTTGGCAAGCCACGTGGCCATTCTGCCTGCAGCCCATCCACTGAGTGTTCCACCACAACTTGAGCTATAATTAACTGAAAAGGTTGAAAATCAGCTTAGTTCAAAAATTCCATGTGAAGTGATTAAGTGGGCTTGATCAAGAATGCATATTTGGGGCACCTGGGGGGCTCAGTCAGTGAAGTGTCCGACTCTCGATTTCGGCTTCAGGTCATGATCACAGACAGGGCCGTGAGATCGAGCCCTGCGTTGGGCTCCGTGCTGGGCGTGGAGCCCGCTTAAGATTCTCTCTCTCCCTCTCCTCCTCCCCCTCCCCTCAAAACAAAATACACGTTAATTTTGTACAATTATCCCAGAGGAAGCCTGTCTTGATTGTGCTGGAATTCTCTCCAAAGCGGCTTCAAATGTCTTTTGTGTCGATCTCTAGCTTCTGCTGCGATCTGCTAGCTCTTGACAGCAAACGGAGATCCAGCTACTTCTGTTCATGATAGTACATCTGCATCTGCGTTTAAAGACCTTGTCAGTAGGCACTGTAACTAGGCTCCCAGCCCTTAGGCCTTGATAAAGAGTTCTGGCTGAATGGATTGTATTGGCAGCTGAGCACTGCCTAACGTGGACCGAGGGAGCAAACCACACCCAGTACGCTGTCTACGTGCCCACGGCTGGAGTCAGCTGTGACTGCTCAGCATTAATTGGGGTACTCTCGCAAGATAAATGTCTTTAGGTAAACTTAAGCGTTTATGAGATCAACTTGCATCTTGAAATAGTTATCGTTGGTTGACTGCCTACCATGTGCCAGGTTCTGTGTTAAGATCTTTGCATATATTATCATATTTAAATTCTCATAAAAATGTGTAGTAACACCTACTGACACATTAAACCATCACTACCTGACAGGCTGCATTGACAGCTTTGCATACACATCTCAACCCTATTTCTATTATTCTTCTCTGACAAAATTGGAAACGACCATAGAGTGGGAAACATGAACTTGTCACATGGTCAGGGACAGAGATGGCCCTCTAGAGCTTGTGCTTCCAGCCACTTCACGGAAATGCCTTGCTGTAAGACAGCTGGACTGATCGCCATCATTTTATCACCGAGGGAACTGCATGAAACTTGTTCAAGGCCATGTTAGGAAATGGTAAAGAGCATGATGGGTGTATCTCTCTCCAACCCTGGGTCAGATTTGTCTGTTCACCCGTGGCTTTCCTGTTCTAGACAGCTCTGTGTATATATGTTCTTTGATAGTTCGCATGTAAGGTTTAAACGTTTTTTAGAAATTATAGAGCAGGAAAAAACGGGGGGTTTCTGCTACTATAAATGAAGTAATAGAAACTGAATTATGCAACATTCAGCCTTAAGATGGGCCAGCAAGTCATTCCTACCCAAATCAGCTGAGAAACTTCTCCCTAAAGGGAGGCTTAATCCTGGCAGAGCCAAAGAACATTTCTTTGGGATTACATACTTCTCTTTATACTGTTCTGGATTTCCTAAATTTTCTATAATGAAAATGTTACTTTTTTTTTAAGTTTTTTTTTTTTAATTTATTCATTCGAGATACAGAGATACAGAGAGAGAGAGAGAATATGAGTAGAGGGAGAAGCAGAGGGAAGGGCAGAAGCAGGCCCCCCGCTGAGCAGGGAGCCCGATGTGGGGCTCGATCCCAGGACCCTGGGATCATGACCTGAGCTGAAGGCAGACGCTTAACCATCTGAGCCACCCAGGTGCCCTGAAAATGTTACTTTTTAAAGTAAATGTTCACAGGTAATGCTGAATACATTCTCATGATAAACATTCAACTACACAAAGCCCTTCCCCTAAACACTTACCTTCCACTCCCCCTCTTCTAGACTCCTTTCTAGAGGTAACCACAATTTAGAAGTTTGTATGAATTCCTTTGCATGACAGACCTGCACAGTCCTATAAGGAGATCACTACCCATACGTGGCTATTGACTACTCCAAATGTCCTAGTTCAAACTGAAGTGTGCTTGTAAGCATAAAATACACATGAGATTGAAAGACCAAATATGAAAAGGGTGTAAACTATCTCATATAATTTTTATACTGACTACATGTTGAAATGACAATATTTGGGATGTATTGGGTTAAATAATTAAAAATAAATAAATAAAATACAGTATTAATTTCATGTTTCTCTTTGCCTTTTTAAATATAGGTACTAGAAAATGTGGCTTACCTTATATTGGTATCAGCCAGCACTGCTCTGGAGTGTAGATCATTTTTAATACGTTTACACACTTATTTATATAAAAGATTATTTTTTTGTGCTTTCTAATGTAAATATGCGTTACTTTTATACTTGGACTAAAACTTTTTTTAAAGTATAACCTTTAAATGCATTGATCATTAAATTAACTCCGTTCTTCCTTCCTTTCTCTTCCTCTTCCCCACCCCACCCATCACCTCCAATGCACACACTTCTTGACAACTGACAAAGCCTCAGAGTGAAGAAAGTAATAAGTATTCTTGGCCATACAAATGTTGAAGTGAGCCCACCTAACAATTGGATTACTCCAACCCAGGCACATATTAACAAAAAGTATCTCCTTTTTGGATAAAAGAAAGTGCTAGTCAATGGAAGAAGGCTTTGGAGTTAGTGGGTCCTAGACAAAAGACATAGGAAATAGCTACAGTTGCCAAAAATGACTACCAGTTATTTTTAAAGAACTAGATCCAAATTTGCTATTCTCATCATGTCATCTGTTCCTCTGATTTTTTTTTTTTTCTTTTTCAGAAAGCATAGTTCCATTACTTTATGTTGGGTGACTATGTACCACCAACTCCTTTTCCCTTGATCAATATTGCTTATAAAGCACCACCTCAGTTCAGCTACTGAATCTTGATTGTTGTCAGAAATAAATGCTGACATGCGTGACCACATCTGACTCGTTTGAAGGTTATAAGGTACCGAAAATTTTTGTTCTGTCTAATACCTAAAAATGAGTCCAGTTCAGTGGATTCTGCAAAGGAAATGACCCCAACAAGCGCCTGTTCTCCCCGCACTTAAAAACTGCCTGCCTGCATATACATAAACAGTTGACACACAGCGCACTCCTGTCAGTGAGCTGGGACCACGTACACATACTCTTGTGTTAAGCTGGAAGGGTGTTTCCTGTGTTCTAGCAAGGCCTTAACGCAAGCAACATATTAGCAGCTCTTACTTGGCCTCAGTGTGGAACGTCCTTGAGGGCAGAGGAGAGACAAAGAACATTAGGCATGAGCAGGGGTGCTCTGATGACTCACTATTCTCATTCCCATGAGTGCTCCTTGGTGCCTTGTCCCATTTGCGTCCCTCTGGTTACGTGCTGCCTTGATAAAGGACCGCAGTTGAATACCTGTTTTCCTTTGCCCCCTCCTTGCTGCCTTGACAAACTTCCCAAGGACGAAAAGGAGGCCAGGGAGGAGGAGGAGCGCCACAATTTTCTTCTAGTTAGTAACTCTCCCAGTCTAATAAATCAAAATTTCCTTGAACAGATTTCACTGGGGGCTGCTCCATTTCAATAGGACATTCGAAAAGTGTTTCTTCTCTTTTCTTCCTATTCCTCACCACCTTTTTCCTTCATTCAAGGAAATAGAAAACAAAACAGAGACTAGGGCAACGCAAGGCCTTTCAATTTTTACTGAAGTGCCGAATACCACAGCAATTAAGGCAACCTTTTGAAACTTAAAAAAAAAAAAATTCTCCCTTAATTAGGATGGACTTCATCTGAGTGGCTACCATCTGCTGAAGCAGCCCAACCCTGTCCTCCTTGGGTCTTGGCAGCTACAGGTGAGTCGGGCCCCCTTCTTCTTGCCCACACCCCTGCTCAAGAAGCTGCCAGGGAGCTCTCAAGCAGTATCAGCAGGCAGGAAGTGGGGTGGGAGCGAGGGGGTCTCCACCCATTAGCAGCTGCCTAACTAGTAGGCAGGGGAACTATTCTACAGAGAACTTCAGGTCAGCAGATACTCCAAAGCAATTTATACCACATGCTACCCAGTTGTGGAATTAAAATGCTGAGGGAGGAAGGACCTAGCACGCCAATCTCCTTATTTTCTCCCTTACCTGGTGTTTGGCACCCAAAAGAATAAAAGAAGAACAGTTGGACTTGGTGGTTTAAAGGGAATTATTAGGCAACTGGGAGGAAGTGAAGGCAGCTGTCTTCATGGAACATCATGTACCAGTGACTAAATGTCAGGACCCATCATTGTCCAAGTGGTGACGTCTCCACAGGTTTAGTAACTTGCTTCATTCAGATTAAACCAAAAGACAAGCTTGACAGATTATCAGAATCTTTGGGGGAGGGCGGTGGGTGGAGTGGAGAAAGGAGTAAGGCAATTTTAAAAAATGACTTCATATTTTTTTTTAAAGCACAATATTATCACCTCTGTGGTTTTTCTTCAGTTTCTTCTAGCGTAATGTGAAATAGAAGTCTTGCCAAAAGTAGGGGAAACATTTCCAAATAAGTCCTTATAGATTACATTCCAAATCTAAAATAAAAACTTGTAAACATGTGTTTGCCCATCAGACTTCAGAACATTTTTGTTCACACTTCCCTTGTGGAAGAAACTTGACTTTTTCTTATGCTACTTCCTTAACAATAATTTGCTATGGTTTTAACAAATGACTAAGAGCCGGGTTCATAATTATATATATATATAGCATATACATATTGAAAACAATTCGTTTACATTCCCTCACCAATAGGAAAACATTAAATGATTACCTCTGTAAATTTGTTCCGATTTGCTTGCAAGCCAACTTTTACTACCTCAAAAGGGTTAACCACGATAGCTTCTGTTAGTCCAGATCCTAATCCAGCAATGGCAAACGTCTAGAAAAGTTCAATCAATCAATAATTTAAAACAAGTTACGTATACTGAGTTAAACATCCTACTCATTACACTCTGCAGCTGAATGTTATGTGGAGAATGGAGAAACGTATATAAATGTACCATATACCATTACTAAACAGCTTTCGTTCTTGATTAGATGCTGACAATTCATGAAGAAGAAATTACAGAAGCCACAAACCACATCCTAAAAATTCAAAATAAAATGTCAAAGCCCCATCAACAATGACTTGTTCCTTTAATGAAAAGAAAGGTTGTTTTAGTGATTTAGGGTGGATACTAAAACATCTGCACATGTAACAATTAAAAGAGTCTGACTTATAAAAGGCGAGGCTCGTTTTTAAAACATCTACTTAAATCATTATTGAGCATTTCAAAAAATTCAAGAAGAACCAAAAATAAAATGTTTATAAAAAGCCAAATTTCAGATAACAAAACAGTGCAGCTGAAAACACTCAAATGTATAGCCCTGATGTTAGAGTCACTATTCTAGACAATTGACAAACAAAAAAAATTTTTTTATTCATCCTTTCCCTATTTAAAAAAACCCCTGATAACTGCCCTATTCTTCTAGACGTAGAAAATGAGGAATAAAAGTTGAGATCAGAAATGGCGAGGTTGTTCTGAAGGGCTCAGCCAAAATCTAGAACATCTCTCAAAAGATGATGTCAGGTTCTGATTTGCTCTCAGTTAAGAGCTTCTGCAATAAGGAACTATAACTTTCTCGACTTTTCCTCAAAGTAGAATGTTTAAGGGTTTTCCAGAAAACCTGTATCAAAAATAACCACAACAATTAAGACACACACACACACACACACACACCAGAGAAACAAAATGAAACAAAGCCTCAAATTTCCAAAACAGATGTTGGAAAAAAATAGTTCTTTAGTGCTAAAGCTGTAATTCAGGAGAAGAGGGAACGCTATATACAGCCAAAAGAAGAAAAAAGCCAATGAAGAATAAAGAGCAGGTAACTCTTACTAGGAGTCTCTAATTTCTTCAAAGTAGACTAAAAGAGAAAAGAGAAAGGAATATTCCCTAACCTTGGAAGAAAAGGCAAGGTAGAACAAGGGAGGATCTAGAGGGAAGTCTGGATTCAGGTCCTGGTTCTGCCACTTCTGGGCTGTGTGACCAGGGCTGCCATATGCATTAGTTTGTGCACAGAAAAAGGTGTGTGTGTGTGTGTGTGTGTGTGTGTGTGTGTGTGTGTAGGCTGAGATCCCGCCTGCACCGCACTTGCCAAGCTGGAGCCCTGGAGAGGCATCCCCCAGGGGAAAGGGCAACTTTGCATAATTCACACAAAGGCACCACATGTGCGAGCTGCAACTCTGTGTCTAAATCACTCAGCCTTTTATAAGCCATAGTTTCCTCATCTGTAAAATGGAACAATGACATCTAATCTCCCTACCTCATATGAGGATCAAAACAACGTGTGAAGGCCTTTTTAAAGTGCTTTACAAAAACCATTGGTCCTGTTGCACATAAAAATGCAGAGGAAGAATGGGATCGTATACGGATTCAAGAAGAGGGAATAATTCATCATGTTTTCCTTTCACGCCCCTTCATTACGATTTTAAACACATTTGCATAGGGTAACAGACCAAATATTCCATTCATTTGTCTCAGACTTCCATCATGGAAGCCAAAACATGTGTGTGTGCACACACACACACACACACACACGTCCCAAACTCTTCTGATGGGAAAGCTAAAATCCAGATGTTCAGGTTTTTATTACTTACTGTATGCAATCTTCCAAATAATTCACTTTTTTGTTCTTCTATAAAACTCAGCTACATTTGCTGTCAGAACTAGTGTTCAGCAGTCCCTTGTCAAAAGAATTGATCAGCTATCAGCAGATCACGTTACTTAGATGATTCCAGAGACCAGTGGTAACAGTGGGGTTCCCAGCCTCCTAGGCTTTTCATGTGCGAGAACCAGGGGACATTTAAGGGCTGTTTAAGTGTCTAGCTGTATCAAAAAGAAACTGGAATAAATGAATTCAAGGAAAGAGAACAACTGTCTGCAGTTTGCATGCATTCAGTTAGAGTAGCTGGAGTGGCCAAATGCTTTTCTGTTTTAATTCTCACGAGCCCAAAAGCCTGCAGCCTCTCACATGGTACCAATGCTCGACACAGGAACAGCCAGCTGGCCCTCTGGAGACCATATTTTATTGTCTTTTGCTAGGAAGTTTTTAATCCTCTCTTAACCAAGATGTTTTCAAAGTTGAGAATGACATTAAGATAGCGAGGCATTAAAAAAATAATCTGAGCTAATATTAGGACTCATGCTGCCACTTCTACCATACAAAGCTATTTTGCAGTCACCTTGTTTAGGCAGGAGTCTGGGCGAGAAGTTTCTTAACAGGATCCTTCCTAGAGAAGGGGCATGTACGGTTTAAAAAATAACAGATATTTCTTCTTGGACAGTCTATTGGGCAGAGTAAATATTCTGAAGTAAACCTTTAAAAGTTAAGTAACGGAAGAGCTGAAGCTCAGAACACTGCCTCTCTGGTTGAGTTTTGAGGCCCATTGCAGCAGGTAAACCGGAGGACATTTCTAGGGGCTGGGAGGCCCACTGTCAGTTGGAGGGCCAATGTATCATTTGTTTTGCTTTGTTTTGTTTTTCAGATTTGGAGGGAGAAATCAGTGCACTTTCTCTCTCTCGGGCTCTTGCTGCACACATACTTGTAGAAGCCATCTGGCCACTCTAATTTATCTTGTGAAAAGCAGCAGTCACCAAGAAGGAGAGGAGAGGCACTGAGCAATGTTCACATCACCATGCGATTTCCATGTAACAGCTGAGATGTGTCATTGTAGCATCGCTGTTCTCCACAACCACTAAAGGTCGTTCAGTCTGCATCTGCCTACAGGGTGACCTGAAGTCCTGCATTTCCTACAGCTGGAGCAAAAGCTGGAAAAGTGACCTGTTAGGAAATGTTTTAGGCATACTGACTTTTGCATAAACAGATATGCACAGTACGTAGTATGTAAACACATGCATGCTTTGGCTTTCACAGAATCTTTGACAAATGTACTCTTTATTTTATATTCTTGACCATATCTCATATGGGTCTTTCCACACATATCACTGTTATCATAAATTCATCACTGGGAGCTATAAAATAGCCAAATTGTGAGTTATTAGGAAGATGGCTTTCAACAAGTAGCTGAACATTGAATAACTCGAATTCATATTTTAGTAGTTGGACTTGGGGAATCAAAAGGGTTTTTGTTTCCAGATTTTGGTTTATGAAATAACTCACACACTTAAGTATAATAAATACTCTCACTTACCAAAGCTGGCGACAGTGACACATATCCTAGCAATTTCTTGTACTGCTCAAAGGTGAAAAACTGTGAAACAAAACCAAACCCAGAGATTTATAACAATGTCTTGCAACAAACCCTTTAATTGACTCAAATTTCTTTAGTAAATCATGATATTAACCAGCATTTTAGAAAAATGATAAACCAACGAACACAGTTTTTAATCTGGTCTCGGGTAGTTGCTTAGTGGGCCTTACTTGAACATTCATATTTTCAAATGCAACTATAATAACCTACAGAAGAGCTGATGGAATCCTTTATAGCAGTAAATGAACCATACAGCTTCCATTTACCATGACCATTTTCAGTTTCCCCAGACATCAATAGACTTTTTTATGGCAGTGATTCAAAATTATAGGCAGAGAGACCCCAAATCTCTGGTCTCCTATGTTTTCTCTGTGAACTGCTTTCCCAGTGAATGCCAGTTTTCTAACCCACTTGTAAAAGACACCCCCTTCTCATCTTTAACTTGCGCATATACTCTTGTGTATCTCCATTGTTTCATGGAGTTTCTAAACCCTCACTGATGATGAAGGTGCCATGGTAAAACAGAGAAGGACCCAATGAGGTCATGTAGTCCGTCCTGACTTAAAGCAAGACTGTCTTCAACCTTTCTCCTTTCACGAAGAAAGAGAGCTGCTTTTTCCTTCCTTTAACATCTGATGAAGATTTTGTAGGTTCCTTTCATGAGGTAACATTTCATATAATTTTCTCTGCAAATAAATTTCTATGGAGGCAAATGTCATCAGACTTCATGTAATGTGCCCCAAATACATTTCTCTCCTCTCTTTCTGTACTCTGTAATTTGGGAAACAATTCTCCTTGATCATGATGTTTTGCTCCTGGGAGCTCTGTTAGTAGAAGCTGCCAATGTCATTGGTAAGGCACAATCTTAGGTCCTGCTAGGGCCTGATTTTTAAGGCCCCAGAAAAGGCATGGGTACTTGATGGTCTCGAATGTCTTCTACTCTCTTACTTTGTAACTCAATAAGAGGGGGGAAGAAAAAAAAAGCAGATTTGGGGATCAAATAATACTCTGTTGTTAGAAAGAGGTAGTTCTATGTAGATATGGCTCTATGAGTCTTTGGGCAGAGATTTTGATTCTTTTAAAGATCCAGGAATAACTTTTGTGCCATGTTTCTTTAACTCAACTACAGATGTAGACTTTTCTAGATCAGGGATTCCTTCATTTACTCATTCAACAAATATTTATTGGATGCCTCCTGCAGCAGTGAATAAAGAGAAACCCCTGCCTCCTTGATCTAACATTCTAGTGGATGGTGTCAACTCTGAAACTCTCCTGGTGTTAAAAAAAAAAGCACCAGTGGCCACCGTTTTGGTGAAACCATTAACCATGGAAGGAAAAGTGTTACTGTCTTAGGCTTTACAGATAAGTTTTTTTCTTCATTTTTATGGTCACTATCATCACTATTCTTTGACAATCACCTTGCTAGGGTTTTGATGGGAGCAGTCCTGGGACTGAATCCTGGCTATGCTACTTAGCTGTGAAAGCCTGGGCAAGTCACCTGACCTTTCCAGCCCTCGAGAACACAAAACTTACCTTCTAAAATATTCCTTAAATAACAGAATTTAAGTAAGATTTTCTGACATGCCTGACACAGATAGGACTTTCAGAAAATCTTAGTTTTCATTCTCTTTCTTCACTTTGGGCTAATGGAGGAACCACAGTTACTTATATCCCTCACGATAGCTTGCTGTGGTCCAGGTAACATGCGAAGGCCTTGGCAGGTGCTACTGGGCCGAATCCATACAAGACCATCAGAAAACAGGTTATAGTACGATCATGGTTCTCATTCTGTAGATCCACATCCTGCAGTTAGTGAGTAGAAGGACTGACTGCAAAGCCTGTGTATGCTCTTAAACATGACATATGCTTGCTCACTGCTGAGCCGTGACTGTTAACAGTTTGGGATTCTCTGCCCCAGAGTTTTCTTGCTGCTGAGGTCTTCTTGCCTTCCCTGACCTTGGAAGCCCGGAGTCCCTAAAGGCAGAAGGTTTCAAACCTTTTGGAGCACAATCTATGTAAAAAGTATTCACGTAACACTCACACACGCGCGCGCGCACGTACGAACGCATGCGCACACGCACGAAGGCAGTGTTCGCGCATGCACGCACGCATGCGCACACGCACGAAGGCAGTGTTCGCGCGCACGCACGCATGCGCACACGCACGAAGGCAGTATTCGCGCACGCACGCGCGCGCACGCACGCACGCAGGCAGTGTACCCTTGTATTTATTTATAACTGAAAGAAAACATTGCTGTAAAACAGTGTTTTCCCCTCCCTATGTGTAATGCACTATGTTTCTATTCTGTTTCGTAAAAAACATTCTGGTCATGACCCATTACATCTAGTGACCCACTTAATTGATTTTATGACTCATAGGTCATGACCTACATTTGGAAACACTGAATACTGGGTTCAGGGAAGTTCTGGGATGGATGGACCTCACAAAAGGCCTCACTACCTTGTTCTCTTCCAGTGTGAGGATGCGGTTTTGATTTTTGTTCTTCTTTATTTCTGACTTCCTGTAGTTACAAGGGATTAAGGACCAAACTGGGATCTCAGGGGAGAAGTCTGGGGACAGGCACTTGGCCTGTCATTGTAGCAATTCTCACAGGGAATTCCAAGTCTATGTGTCGGGGCAATTCTAGGCTTTTCCTATTCCATCTCTAAAATTGTGAGAAAACCAAGCTACTATTAGCTGACTGGTACTCATCAGCAGTGTTGCTGGAAGATTTTGGCGAATGCCTAGGTGAAATGATTCAGACACTCTTATCCAGCACCTCTGTCCTGTGAACTCTAGCTGCCTTGCCCTCTCCAGCCTGTCAGCTCCGTCTCAACCCAGGGAGTACACTGGGCTCTGCTTACATTTCCCCTGCGTGCCCGGGGTCTGGAAAAACCTCTCAAGGCAGTAAGTTGGGGGCAAACCATAGAGCTCTTCTCATTTGTTCCCTGTCCCTGCCCTTCCTTGTCTGATGTCCAGTGTCCTGAAAACTGTGGTTTCATATATTTTGTTCATTTTTGTTGTTGCCGTTTCAGGCAGGAGAGTAAATCTGGTCTCTATTACTCTATCTTGGCTGGAAATGGAAGTCTTGGTCTTCCAAAAACTGAATAGTAGATGTGGGAATTTTGGGGACTAGGATAGGAATGTCTCCTGTGATAAATCAATTCACTTCCGTTCTGTTTCTTTCTCTATGTTTCATTTGTGCATCTAACATCGGTTGAGCATCTAGTGTGTGTAGACACAATGACAGGTGTAGGAGGGGTGGTGAATAGCCTTCACAATTCCTACTCTCTCGTGGGTCTGGTTAGCATCAGGCAGTCCTGGAGAGTCTGTCCATGGAAAAATGCTGTTTTTGGACCTGTGAATCTCAAGACCAGACCCAGGAAACTTGAACGTGGTGCCTCCCATGTCTGAAGGGCCAGTTGGTCTCTTTCTGAGGTCTTTATTTCCTTTTGCTAACTGCAATACTAATTCTGTCTTAATCTGTGAAGGGGTAAGTTTCATTTATTTAGCATCGATGAGTCTTATTTTAATGATGAATCCCATTTCAAAGAATACAGTGCAGAAAAACTTCACATTGTCTGTTTCTGATTATAATAATGATTGTGATTGAAGTGTCAGTACCAAGGAATATACACACACACATGTATATTCACATATATTCATGTATATGTATGTATGTGTGGGTATATTTATACATATACTTACATATGGTCTCTGAATATTTTTTCTGAAGTAAACTTTGATGCCATACAATGAAGCACTTTATGATGTATGAAATCGTTACAATCAGATGATTGCTTTCCTCACAAATTCTAAGATAAATATCTATAAAATTTTCTATGAATATTTTCATAAATTGTATTGAAAAACTAGTGCTATCCATCTGGCAAAGATACACTTAACTCCAAGTTATACTTAAAAAGCCAATGCACTTACCATATGTCTCAATAATTTTAAGGTAAAATCAACTTGAAACAAGATGTCTGGGACACATACACCATATCCAGTTGCCCAAAAGTTCATCTGTTAACCATTGCTCTGGCAGCGAGCATTGCTTTTTTCTTCAGTAGAGACTAACTCAGTTTTGTAAAGCTCAACTTTTTTTTTTCCTTACATAAAAGACTGTTCAACACTGATAAACTTTAATCCTCTTCAAATTTAAATGAAATTTTCTCCAATGTATAGTATTAAGGAAAAATATTCCAGGAAAAACTTTAATTATAACTTACTCTATTTATCCATGTAAAACACTGAACAAATGAACATATTATTCCATGGAGACAAAGTGACTTTCCTTTTGAAAAGGAACTCTGCTCTGTTTGTTTACTTGGGCAATCTTTTATCAAGTGAGGCCATTTCATAATTCAATTCAGCCCTCTTGTGTACTTTGGTGAACTTTTTCCAGATTCTCTACTGCGATTCAGATCCTTATAATGAAATTTGTATTGAAGTAATAATATAAAATCACAGAAACTATGGCAACAAAGGGGATGAATTTATAGAGAAAGTATGTTTTACAGCTTTGTTTTCTGAATTCTAGACCTGAATCAAATACTATTAAATTACTATTTTGACATAATGTAGAAGTATGGTGTCTGTGCATGTCGGTTATTTTATCATAAAATTTAACTTAGTCTACCTCTTAACTTACTGAGCAAAAGTATAGAAATTGTCCCATCTTACTTCTCAGGAATATTGGGAATACAAATTGAGTAATGTATCTGAAAAAAGCTTTATGTCATTAGTTGGAAAGGAGGTCTTTTGGTCTAAGTGTATGTTATCCTTCTTATGGAAAGACAAAGCCCTATTTGGTGAAGTCAGTGGTGTGGGGGAGGGGGACTGACAGCCAGAGTCACTGTGATCAGGACTTCTGTTCGAGAGAACATAGAAAAGAGTGATCAGATTTAGTTCTTTCTTCCCTGGAGGTCCTGCCAGATCTCTGTGTTCCTATCCAGATACCAAACCAACAAATAGTACATAAACTCCCATAGTTATGTGGTTAAAGAGTGGAAATCAGCATAGCGGAAGTAATAATTTTGTAAAAACCAGAGTAGAGAATTTTAACAGAGGAGACCAGGGTGGAGGGGGTAGGGAAAGAAATGAAGTTAGCATTCCAAGTAAATGTGTTATATGAGAATCATGTACAAAGAAATACAGTGTATTAGTTTGCTCTGTTCATAAAATGGAACGGATTTAGGGAAAAAGGTTTTTCTACCACTCTTCCCTCGTCTCCTCTCCCTCTCTCTTTAATAATTATTGCTACCAAGGAAAATTGATGAATTGCTTTGAGAAAAAGGTCCAGTTATTTTGTGGCTGCTGTGGTTCAATTACATGAATTTCATTCACTACTGTACTTTTTGTATAATCTCATCAGAAGGGAGTGCCTTTACCTGAAAAAAAAATCCATAAATCAATATTTGAGAGAGTGACCTGGCCTAATTATAATAAAAGTTATGCTATAATTTCCACATTAAATTTTTCACTCTCTTATCTTTAATTCACATTAACATCCCATAGTTTGTTGTGGGATGTTTTAGGGGTGAAGTTGTTACTGCAGTCTATTTTCACTTGGTGGAAAGGTATACAATGCTTACCTTCACTGCTCTTTTTGGTGTTTCAGCCAAGATTGGTGGCAGAATCCCCTTGTAAAAACCAAACAATCTATTGGAGAAATAAAAGACTTTATGTAAAGGAATCAGGAAACAGGTAATTCTGCTTTTGTTTATAGATAAAGCAACTAATCTTAAAGTATCCCCAATTATTCAATGTAGCACACCAATCATGAAGTCTTCCTTTGTTTTAATTCTAATGTGCAGAGATTATGAATTCTACAATTATTAACACTATGAAATTCAGAAGAATGGCACCAAGACTGGAATCCCCTGGGTACATTGCTAACGACAACAATGAGTTGTACCTAAAGAATGAACTTGACCTTCCTCACTCTAAGGGATCTTGAATTTATGTTCTCAGTTGTATGGTAGGTAGCTTCAAGCTGTCCACAGTTTCGTTTTTTTTTTTTTTTTAAAGGTTTTATTTATTTATTTGACAGAGAGAAACAGTGAGAGAGGGAACACAAGCAGGGGGGATCGGAAGAGGGAGAAGCAGGCTTTCCGCAGAGCAGGGAGCCCTATGTGGGGCTCGATCCCAGGACCCTGGGATCATGACCTGAGCCGAAGGCAGACACTTAACGACTGAGCCACCCAGGTGCCCCGAAGCTGTCCACAGTTTTGCACTTCCTCCCTTGTAACCAAATGAGGTTCGGGTTATACCTGAGCCCACAGACTGGAACTTTCTGTGCTAACAGGGGCACAAATCCTTACTTTCAGCTCTACTAACACAAAGGAACTAACAAGCTCTATGACTATGGAAACTGAGCTCCCAGCCCTGTCCTGAGTTAGTAATGATCTTTTTAACTTCCTTGATGGAGATAGAAGGTCAGGGACATACGTTGCTGGCAGAAGAAATGTCAAACTTCCTTGCTGATACACAGTCTTACAGGGCCTGGGATGACTGTGAATGCCAATGTTGAGGGACTTGTCACATACTCAAATGTTTTTAGAAACAAAAACAAGGGCGCCTGGGTGGCTCAGTCGTTAAGCGTCTGCCTTTGGCTCAGGTCATGATCCCAGGGTCCTGGGATGGAGTCCCACATCGGGTTCCCTCCTCGGCGGGAAGCCTGCTCTCCCTCCCCCACTCCCGCTGCTTGTGTTCCTGCTCTCGGCTATCTGTCTCTGTCAAATAAATAAATAAAATCTTTAAAAAAAAAAAAAAGAAAACAAAAACAAAAAACAAAACCGAGAATGAGTGCCATATGCTTATGATAAGGTTCATAAAATGTCACCACTTATTTCATATTAGATTTTAAGATTCAAAATTTTAAATTTGTCCACCCTGTTCCGGATGAACCCATAAGTGACTACAGAAAAAAACCAGGACTCAATGTGTTTGTATCTTAGGATGTCCATTTAACATAGAACTGGGGCTTCTCCGACTGACCTCTCAAGCTTCACTCCAACTTCCTTAAATTGGGTTCTGCTTCTAGAACAAGTTAAGAATTTATATATACTAATCCTCTGTGTCACCCAATCCAACGTGGTGATCTCTTTCTCTTCCCTGATTGACTGGCTTACAAAGCACACTTCAGTTAGGGAAGCAAAGGGTTTGTTTTATAGCTTCTAAATTGTTGGCTCCTTGAGGGCTAAGTGTGCATTAGTGTGCTTACCCCAGAGTCTTCTCTATGTGTGGGTATATAACCAGGACACAAACGTTTGTTAAGCATGTTGATTTCGCAAAGGGTAAGAAAGGAATCAAATGATCCCCTGATACGGGCTTACTCTACCCAGTACTTTTGACTTAATGGATAGTGCTAGCAGACATATGATTTGAAGAATTATGGGAATTCATGCTTCTACCTCCTTTCCATTCCAATTTCAACTACTAATGCCTGAAATTCACTTATAAAATTCAAATACCACCACTCTTTATCATTTACATTTCATTATAAATTAATCATTACATAATTTTCAGCATAAGAGTGACTAAGCATAGGCTCGGTCTTCCCAGAAGATAAATGTGATTATCTGAATAGAAGTTCTACATTTATAATGAAAGATTTATTAGTTCTGTTCTTTCTGTGCTGATTTTTCCATATCTGGAAGATTATGTCTGGTTTTTGGGGAAAAAGTTAAGAAGAACATTTAAATAACTACAGCTTCTAGAACAGAGTGTCCCTGTTAATAATAGAGGTACTTGAAATCCCATACAACAGAGAGCAGTTACAGGAAGAACAGTCACTCAGCCTGGAGAACAGTCATAGGGAGAAACATGATGAACATGACTAATCTCTTGAAAGGTGAGCATGTAGGAAAGAGCTTCGACTTTTCCTTTTGTTTTCAGGTGGTAGAACTAGGACCAACAGATGGAAGGAACAAGAAAAGACACATTATTGGGGTGCCTGGGTGGCTCAGATGATTAAGCGTCTGCCTTCGGCTCAGGTCATGATCCCAGGGTCTTGGGATTGAGCCCTGCATCAGGCTTCCTGCTTGGCGGGAAGCCTGCTTCTCCCTTTCCCACTCCCCCTGCTTGTGTTCCCACTCTCGCTATCTCTCTGTCAAATAAATAAATAAAACCTTAAAAAAAAAAAAAAGAGAAGACACATTATTGATCCAGTAGGAGCTTAATATAAGGAAGTACTCCTAATAGAATTATCTACAGATGGAATAGGCTGTCCTGAAAAATGATGAATTCTCCTTCATGGTAAATGGTCAAGCAGTCTGGATGGCCACTTGTCATGGATGCCAGAGATGGGATGTATACAGCAATGGATGAACTTGATGGCCCTCAAGATCGGTCTACTCCAACCCTCAGATTTCATGGTTCTAAGAAAAATAACAGGAGGATATGGGAAAGTGCTTTCCTGAAGAGACAAAATCTGCCTTAACTTCAAACTTCTGCCTAAAGTAGAGTATTGCTTCTCTGGAGAAGGACAGAAATCTTCTGAGTAACACAGAAGGTCTTCATTTTAAAAATGATGGGAGAAAATATTAAAAAGAGGTGTAAGGCAGGAGGGAAGAGAGGCAGCTGGGAGAACCATAAGGATTTAATCTGAAAAGAGCTGGGAGGTCCAGAGCCCTCTGCTTCAAGTTGGCGATGCTTCCTTGATGCGCCCTCCTTCCCGTCTCTCTGCTCGGTTCCTTTCATGTGTAATCATCCCCCCCACCACCCCCAAATCCCTGCCACTGCCTCCAGCCATCCCACCATCCTGAACTTTCTAACAGTGAATGAACAGCTTTAATGGACCATAGGCAGGCTTTGTTTGAAAATGGGAACCTAGATCTACTTCCTTGCACTGTTTTCACAATATATCCTTGCAATAGTAGACATCTACAGAATAGTCAGGCCACCACCTCTTCTGTTGAGAACTGCCCCACCCAATTTTTTAAAACACTGGAGCCAACACATTAGTAAAATATGATACCGCTTGTAGGCAGTTGGTTGATTGGGCACCTCACCAAATGGACCCAAATGGTATTCTGTCTCTTTGCCCCAATCTGATCCAAGCTAGACCTAGCAGAGTTTTTCTCCAGGATTTGGGAATTAGAACTGAAAAAGTCAAGTCTCGCTCTGTGTGGTTGGAGCTCTAAGACAGAAAGCTAGCATATCAGGGACAGTCTGTCATTTGGAGAAAGTCAATCTGCAGTGATAAAAAAGAAGGAAGCTACCATTCAGGGAAACACAGAAGCAAAATGGAGAAGAGAAGTTCTGATACTGGGTGTATGACCCTGCTGCCAGCAAGTTTTTACACTGAGTTATATCTCAACCTTTCTTGAATATTGGCATTTCCCTTTGCTTTTCATTCTTTGAGATATCCAGTATCACTTAGAATAAATTCCTTTTTTTTTTTACACCTAAATAATTCTGAGTTGGGTTTATTACTTAACAACCCAAAGTCCTGAATCCAGAAAGTAAGCCTCACGGCCCCTACAGTCAAAGTGGCTGCCACAGGACCTCCGTGCCACACCCTCTCCCACGAAGAGCCTTTTTGTCAGTGAAGATTGGCCCTTGGGCCAATTAGAAGAGTCACACCTAAAATTAGAGAAAGAGAATGTGGTGGGCAAGGGCACGAGCTGACGAGCTACTTTTCTTGATTGATTAGATAATTACTGGAAGCTTTCCTAAGGTAAAGTACAACATACAGATTCTTAAAAACAAAAAGGAATTGTCATGTTTTATGAAGGAGATACTTTTTTTTTTTCTGCTAAAGAACTAATGCTTATACCTACATGCACTGTTCACTCTGCCAAATTTTTCTGCCTTCATGTAGTTTTGGCTTGAAATACAGAGCATGTGGCTGAAGAGGACAGAAACTAGGGAAGTTGAGAGATTTGTGACACCCATATCAACATGCTTTATCCTGCTTACTTCTCAAGAAGCAGACTGACACATCCAGTCTACTTCCTAGATGAATGGAAACTAATTCTAATGTGTATGTAGCATTAATAGCAGTTCTTATCCCTGAAAAGACAGTAAAGCCACCATTCTGGCTTTAAGTTTTGACCAATATCAAGCCAACTGGAGAACTCTTTGGAAGAGGCATGAAAACCAATGCAAGACCTCCCATAACAAGGTGGTATGAACTATATGTCAGTCCTCAGTTTGTTTCTCAAAATTGTTATTTCTAAAAGTTGTGAATTTGGTTTTAATTATCCTATGTAGGAAAATGTTAAGTTGGATGTTTATGGACTTTTGTTGATATTGATAGAAGTAAAATAGTCAAAATTTGTCAAAAGCTTACTATGTGCTAGCCACTCTGTTAAGAATAAATGTATGTATAAAGAACTTCTTAAACTCAACACCCAAAGAACAAATGATCCAATCAAGAAGTGGGCAGAAGACATGAACAGACATTTTTCCAAAGAAGACATCCAAATGGCCAACAGACCCATGAAAAAGTGCTCAACATCGCTCGGCATCAGGGAAATCCAAATCAAAACCTCAGTGAGATATCACCTCACACCAGTCAGAATGGCTAAAATTAACAAGTCAGGAAACGACAGATGTTGGCGGGGATGCGGAGAAAGGGGAACCCTCCTACACTGTTGGTGGGAATGCAAGCTGGTGCAGCCACTCTGGGAAACAGTATGGAGGTTCTTCAAAAA